CAAAAACCAAGAAATCCCTCATTAATGCTGAAAATTGTGCCACAATTGGCGACGTTGCCAACCAGGTTATACATGGAATAAAAATTTATTTCATTTCTTCTCTCCGATCAATGATCTCACTTATAATTCTTTGAGAATCACACGAATCTAATGGAAAAAAAGAATTAATTTTATTTTTTGTCCGCCCTCCTCAAAAAAATTTACTTATAAAAACTCGAGAAACAAGGAATAAAAAAAGTCTGGCCTAAGTAACATGAAATTTGGGATGAAACTGAGATATCCTCACGAGATAGTAATCGACAAACATCTTGGGGGATTTCCTAAAATGTGCATTGTGTAGGGCTGTTATTAGTTTAAGATTTACCATTGACTTTGTATCTGGTGTTTGTTTCTCAAGGATCCTCTTGCCGGAATTGTTCCCAGAACTCTACATCAGCTGTTTGAGTCTTTGCAACAAATGAAGGTTGAGTTCACAATACGTGTGTCATTCTTGGAGATATACCAAGAGGAATTGTTTGATCTGTTGGGTGACGGCGAGGAAAAGCTGCGAATGTTTGAAGATAACTCAAAAAAGGTAATGTCATTAACACGTGGATAAAAAGTGTCACAAGTGTAATTTTATTTGTGCTTGTCTTGTATTACCAATTTTGATCTCATACCAAGATGCCAAAATTTCATTTAAAGTTACAATCACAATCACACTTTGCGAATACAAGATGGAATGTTAGCCGATAGGGAGACTTGAACTTGAACTTTTACACTCGCATGTGCAAAATGTATATTGCCAATACATGTAATGCTATAGTCTGTTCAGGCAAGGGAGTTACTATTGAATTCTCTGAATTTTACATGTACACTTGGTGTCAAGTCTTGATTAAACAAATTCCTACTGTAGTAATTCTATCAAGAAAGCACTGTTTGTTACACAAGTGGATAAAATGCATTCTGTCTGTTACCACCATGGAAGCTGTTAAAAGTTATTCAATTTTTTTTACATATAGGGCCAGACTTTTATTATCCCTTGTTTCGCAAACTCGCCGAATAAACAGGAGCCGGAAATGAAATAAAAATAAAATTTTATTTCAGCGTAATTTCTTGCGCCCGCCGACTTGTGAGTGCAAAAAATTGCTAAACAAAAATATTTTTATCTTCATTTTTTTTTCGCCCGCCGCCTAACAAACTGACAGTGAATCTCTGGTATTGACCTCTCTGCATGCTGCTTGAGACTGCTAGGCGAACATGGCGGCGGCGTGGTTTGTGGTGACACGCCGTGAAACTCAGTCGTCAAAAACCAAGAAATCCCTCATTAATGCTGAAAATTGTGCCACAATTGGCGACATTGCCAACCAGGTTATACATGGAATAAAAATTTATTTCATTTCTTCTCTCCGATTGATGATCTCACTTATAATTCTTTGAGAATCACACAAATCTAATTGAAAAAAAGAATTTTATTTTTTTTCCCACCCTCCTCAAAAAAATTGACTTATAAAAACTCAAGAAACAAGGAATAAAAAAAGTCTGGCCTAACAAACCAAAAAAATAATTGTTATGTGAATTATTTCTTTAGGGATCTGTAGTCGTACAAGGTCTAGAGGAGAAGACAGTACACACTAAAGATGAAGTATACGCTATCCTAGAATATGGATGTCATAGAAGACAAACTGCCACCACTAAAATGAATGACCACTCAAGGTAAGGGGATTGAATCAAACAAAGGAAGATTATGCAAGGTTTTCATTATTATTGTTCATGCTCTTGTAGCAGACACAGATTTGAAAAACAAAATTGGGGTCACCGGGCTTATCGAGATAATAAGGTCTCAAATGTCATGGTCAATATTGGCGTTTTTACATTTACTTCTAAGGCCAGACTTTTTACATTCCTTGTTTCTCGAGTTTTTATAAGGCAATTTTTTTTGGGGGGGGGATTAATTCTTTTTTCCCCATTAGATTTGTGTGATTCCCAAAGAATTGTAAGTGAGGCCATTGATCGGAGAGAAGAAATAAAATGTTATTCTATGTATAACCTTGTTTCTCATCTGCGCGAGACTTCGGTACTTTGATTATGATACTCCCATGAAAATGCAACTTGGATTTGGTATGCGGTGGGCGGTAAAAAATGTAGATACTAGTAAATATAATATTTTTTTATGATTTTTTTGCGCTTACAAGTCGGCGGGCGTGAGAAATTACGATGAAATAAAATTATATTTTTATTTCATTTGCGGCTTCTGTTCATTCGGCGAGTTCGCGAAACAAGGGATAATAAATGTCTGGCCTAATGATGGGATTATTTATTCGCATCTTGAAATTTTGCTCGTTGGCATGGGATGAAAAAGTTGTAAGTTATTGACATGAATCGTAATATTGTAAAAACATTCTTGATATCATTTAGTGAATACAGATTGATAAGTTATCCATTATATAATGCATTGTATATCAAGTATATTGCTCAGTAGAGCAAATTAGATTCAAATCCCTCAACTTTTTCACCACCAGACTTTCTCATCCAAATTTATTCTGGACTTTTTTTCTTGTATTCTTCAATATTTCTGGAAATGAGCCTCTAAATTTTGAACCAACATACAAAATTTGTGTCAATTTTCAGTTTTTACTCAAAAAATTTGGCCATTTTTGTCCAGTTATTCAAAAGAATAATGCAGACTATAAACGGATAATTTTGTGAATTTGTGATAAAAAGAGGGAACTGGTGGTGAAAAAGTACACCAAACCACTTAAATTGCTATTCGCAGTACTGAATAACCTCTGCTAAGTTGCCTAGAATTATTTGAAAATCTTTTAAAATACTGCATCATTTCTGAGTACCCCTACCTAGTCAGTCCAGTGTTCTCCCCAGGATGTAAACAGCGTGGCGGTCCCGCCACAGTGCTTCGATTTGCCGCCACACCGGTCTGACACACCGCCACGGTGATTAGCAAGACCGCCACAGTGCTTTTTTCATTGGGAATGTCGTCACGCTGGTCGGCCCGACCGGCACTCAAAATTAGCGACCACCACAGACTATTGTCATATTGTTATTATACTGACAAGCATCCTGCCAGTCGTGGATAATAATTTGTAAACAATAGACATAGTCATGCTGTAGCGGTCAATTTTGTAAAATTAGCACCTCTTTGTAAGTAAATATTTTCTGACGATAGATGCAGTTTTTAGATTGTTAGCTAAAATTCTTTCAAAATCAATTCCACCCCGATGTAACATGGGCAAAGCGGAGTTCACGATCAGTTTACTCTACTCAAGAAAAAACGTGTTTATTGCATAA